GCCCTGTGGTCACACAAATTTAGGAAATAAGGCACATCATATGGCCTTCTCTGATATTCAAAACTCATGTTTTCATAATAAAAGACTTAATTCTGGCAGAACAAACAAGACATCCCTTTAATTTTGTCTAGCCCATCAAGTTCCAAAACTATTTGAGGGTAGGTCACATTTTTGGGGTCTGGAACACAACCTATGAACATCTGGCAGAGCTATGTTCCCATCCAGCTTGGGTACACCTTTGCTCTAAAACTAGTCTAAACCTCTCAATTAATGGATTAAGAAAATGATGCTTTTAGAATTAACTTCCCAAGGTCACTCAACTACTTAGGACAGCTAAGCCTAGAACATATTTCTTCACTAGTCTCCTGACTCCCTAACAAGTACTCACTTCTATATTTTGTACTCATTTCTACTTTCCTTGCCCCCAAGCTCGAATCAAATAGCACCTTCTCGCTCATCTGTTTTCTGTTCCTCCTTCACTATTCCCTCTTCTTAGAACACGCTTCCCATCCCACATTTCTTCTCAGTCTATCCAGATCACTTCACCCTTCCAGGCCCCATCTTCTCCATGAAGCCTTCTCAAACACTTCAGCCCATCACACTACTCTTTCTCTGAAAGCCTACTGCACTTAGTTGGTATTTGGCACATGAGTGCCTGATTCAAAATTATTTTGTAGGTGCGGGACTTAATTTATCAACTAAACTGCACACTCCTTCAAGATGCTACATATATTTTAGGTTTCTCTGTACTCTTTCTAGTGCCTTGCACATAGCAAGCACTCCACAAATATTTGCTGACTAATACAGGAACATGATTAATATTTTTAAAACAAGTGAATAAGTGATATTTGGCCATAATAAATTACTAGAGCCTATTAACATGGCATATTATAAGTAAAACAAATTCTATACAGTCTATTTATGCCACAGCTGTGTAATGTTTAGGGGTAAGCCCTGAAATAGAGCTAAGAAATGAAGATCACATGAAAGTCTTGGTTTGATCCTCTACCCATTAGAAATGAGTCTTCCTTAATTTTCACAAAGCTCTAATTGGCCTCCTGTCTGCTAATCCCACCAATTTCATCCTTGCTTCTCTTGGTCAGTTGTACAAAAGGAGGCTGCACTAAGAATCCGGTTCACAGCAGAGGACTGAAGTAGGGAAATAATGGACTTGCAAAGATAAATTTTCAGCTATAGTGCTCATGTGACTCACTAATTGAGACTACACAGAAAGAAACCCAAATAAGAACAGAAAGACAATATTATCTGACTAGGGGACACTGATAGTACTAAAACCCTAATATTTCCACTTATATTTTTTTTGCTAGAAGCCACTTTAGAAAAAAAAAAAGAGGTATGACATCTGGGAATACTCACTCTCAACCTATTATTCAAAGAATATCCAAATAAACAATATAATATCCAAATGGTAATCCTGCTTCTCCAATGCCTAATGAAAAGAACACCACATTCAACTTTAGCCTCCTCACCTACCCTCTTATCTTCTATCATGAGACTCTTCACAATCATATACTTGAACTTCAGGGCACAATTACTTAAGACAAGTGTCCTGCAGAATATGAAATTACCTCAGCGAGTTTCACCACCTATAAAGTGTGGGGCTTCTCAAACTACCCCAAAGCTTTCATCATTTTAAATAAAATCCAACAACAGTAAAAAAATAATCAACATAAAAATGCTGGTTCTCATTAGGCAAGTTTCTTACTTTTGCTCCAACATTAGTAAAACTATAGTTGGACTGGAACAATTTATAACAGCACATTTCATTATGATTAGGAGCCTCCTTTTTAAAAGGGAAGTCTAAATCAGCTTCTCAAGACAGTATCATGGAGTCATTATATGTGTCCATGAACACCCAAAGTATGCCACTCCACAGTTTGCCAGCTATTGTTCCTAACTGGCATACAAGACTGGCTGTGCAAGCCTGGCTGTGCAAGCCAACATTTCTGGTTTCTTATCACAACATCATACTAGCAGCAGCCTTGACGATACGTGGTAACAATTGTTTTCATTTCTAAACACAAGGCACAAAAACTAGTACATATTTCATGGAAATCTTAGCATCTATAATAATTCTTAACATTTATAAGCACTTCTATAACACACATTCCTGTCCAAGTTCATAGTTTAGTTGCCTGTTTCTTAATAAGCCCTCACATTTCATGGTAATAGTTGAATAATTCTTTCAAAATGAGTACAGTAGGACAGCACAGGTTTTATTTTAAATGATCTTCAAACACATGTTTTGACCATCCAGCATAGACACAAATGTGCAAACAGATCTACCTTTGCCCACAGAACAAGACATACATGACGATTTTTATTCCATACTGTATTTTTAATCTGAAAAGTTTATTTACAGCTTTCCTACAAACGCTAGGTCTCTTAAATGTGAACACTGACAGGATGTTTAATATTAGAGAACTGTTGTTTACTTAGGTGATAAAGGTACTGTGGGGGTTTTGGTGGCTTTTTTAGTCACCACCATTTAGAAATATATACAAAAATATGTATATATCTCTCATATCACATCTGGGAGGGGGGAGTGAATAGAAGGGAT